CTGCTAACCTGGGGACTGGAAACCGCCGGACCCTCCCTGCGGCACCCCTCCTCGGTGAAGAAAGAGTGCCCTCTAGTGGGCCTTGGCTGGAGCTGCTCGGGGTCCGTGTTGTTCAGGCAAAGACAAAACAAGCAGCCCACAGCCCTCCTTGCCAACGATCCTGAATATGCCTTTGGGTTTGGTTTGTTTTTCTCCCTCTTTGAAGGAAAATAAAGAAAGAAGGAACAGCAGGAGACCCGTTGTGAGAGCAGCTCCGACAGGGCTGTGACAGTCTCCTTATCTTGGGAGTTTGACCAAAGAATTAACACACACACACACACCCCTGCCAGCCATGGCAGCAAGGTGGATGTGACATCGGATGCTTTTCAAAGGGTTGTGACAGTTTCTACATGAATCACTCACCTGCCCTGACTGGCCTCAGACACAAGGGGGTAGATTCCTGAGGAGTAGACTCCTCCTTTGACAGTCATTACCCAAAGGGTTAACCACCTCGTTGAGCAACCACTCTGGATAGCGAGCCCACTGCGCTTGATTACGTTCTCTGGCAGTGGACGTGTCCAGACCTGACTCCTGACTGCTAAGACCCTGCGCACACGGGCGTAAACAGGGAACTTGGCCCTTTAAAACCTGGCTCAGGAAAAGCTGCTGGACTGAGGAGCCAGGGGGAGGGGAGAGCGCCGGGTGCCCGTCAGGGAAGCAGAAACCTGATCATTTGTGATGGTTGCTGGATTAGGTAACAGCTCCGCTGGTTGAAATTGGATCTTGGAGGATGAGTGTTAACATCTCTGGTGTCCTGGCGAAAGGTTCATTTGAGTCTTGCATGGTGCCACAGAGATAAAAAGGAGCTTTTAAATAATCATTTTGTCTCCTACACACCAGAGTGCTGGCTTCAAGCAATAAATAGGTAGCATCAGTTCTGCTTAGACATATCACCCTTTTCATTTATTTATTTAATGTTGGAGGGATTCTTTTTTAAATGACTCGCCGCACAGTTTCCGTATCCGTGAATCCTAACACCCATTTTTATAATGGTTCACACGGATTATCCTTCTGGATAGAAATGAAGTGCAGGCAGTTTACTGGTCCATCCATGCCTCCTCCAAGTGCACAGACACAGCCCAAGACCCTCAGAGCCAGAATCTTCTATGAGAAGTAGAAGATGTTCTCGTTTATACTGTTTATATTGTTCCTGTATATTTACACACACTATATATATATATATCCCATATATACATGTTATATATATATATATATGTTACATATATACATTATATATGCACACATTATATATAAATACCATATATACACACATGATATACACACATATATACATTATGTATATACACACATTATATATGTACATATATACACATTATATGTATATATACACACATTATGTATATACATTATATATATATACACACACACTATATGTACACATGATATATATCATGTGTATATATATTACATATGGCGGGGGATTCTGACACATACTCTGAATTTTTTTCTTTTCATAATGATTTCAGTATAATTTAAAGAGTGTAATTTGAAGAGGACTGCTTCTCCCCCACCCCCACCCCCCATCTTTATATTCTTCTCTTTTCATCGGATCTCTGGTTTGGGACCTATGTATGTGTCCTGAACTCTACGTATAAATGCAAGCAATGGATACATTAACGTGCATTGAATTCTATCATACCAATTTCTTATTAGCCACATTTGGAAACCAATTTTATTAAATCTTATTAAATCCAGATTTGTTTTTGAAGAGTATTTGTTTACAGGATTCATAAAATGATACAAAAGCTAAGTGGAGTGCTAACACTCCCACTATTTTTTTTTTTTCTCCTCGACTAACCGTATCCCTTATACGTGGGCGGGGGAGGAAAGAGTCCGTGTAGGGGAGTGCTTTGCGCTTGTGTGACTGTCCTAAGGTTTCCTTGGTGGTGAGGGGCCTGCAGCGATACCTTTCAGCATCCTGTGCTAGTCTTAGCAATTTTCTTCCTTATTTTATTTAAAACCAGTTAGATTTCAGGCCCAGCAAAATGTTACTTAGGTAGGTGTGCAGAGTTTGTGTGAATAGTCTGTGCATCCCACTGGTGGTTGAAGAGAAAACGTTGAGCGGAGGTGTAGGTGAGCTATGTGGGTCTGGAAGGGAGACATATTCTCAGAAGTAAATATCGGTGGTAGTGACCTGCCCATGGTTACCTGCGTAGTACCTGGAGGGAACTGGGACCAGCGCTGTGGTCTGTGGATGCCTATCTCTGCTTCTCCTGCTTCTCTCAGAATGAATGGAACTTTGCTGGAGGAATAAGTTGGCTGCGTGAGCGAGGCAGTCCTGGGCACACGGGCTGAGAGGATCCTTGCCATCATCTGGGGCGGACAGGTTGTAGGCTAGCCCTAGGGGGGCACATCCTGAGCATTGGGATGGCATTGCTCTCTTTCTCTTTGCTACCTTTGTTGAGACCAGAAATTAATATAAGATCTTTACTGTGCGTGACGGATTGGTTATGGAAGGACCAGGAGGACCCACTAGGAGGCACTACCACTGTCAGCTTCGGAGACTGCTCTCCTAGAGTCTTTGGCCTCTTCTGGAGGCTATGCAACACAAGATTCAGTAGGGTGGGTTGGAGAGTAGGATTTTGCACAATTTATTTAATGACCAAGCTAAAGGGGAACAATTACGTTTGTTTATTAAGAATAGCCTGAGGTGAATCTTTTAAATGACCCATAAATGTTTTTGTTGATAAAGCAGATAAAACTTGCTAAATGAAGTTCAGTAGAGAAACCCCCATAAAGACCCCCCACACAAATGCCATCACCTGTAGAGGTGAGGAATTCTGGGCCCCACCGCCAGGTGCTCCGGTGGTCCCATTCCTTTTCTGCACCTTTAGGGACTGGAAAGGTCTCTAATTCAGGAAATGAGTAGAGCACTGGATTGTTTTCTTAAGGAAATCTCTGTGAGTGACGATAGGTTCTTCGGAGGACTTTGGAGGTTTGGGTAAATGAACTGAAGGCACAGAATAACAGGACTGAATGTTATTCAAAGGCCAGTCCGAGGGGCAACGTCCCAATTCGTCTCCTGGACCTACAAAAGAAGGATTTCACTGGAAGGACGTCCACAACACAAACCTCCACAAGGCCGTTCCTGATACGGCGATTTTATTTTAGTGCCGCGGAATATTCTGGACTCAGGTGTGAGAGGAGAGGAGCGTGAGTCCAGAGGTGTTCGGCGTCTGTGCACAGGGGCGGGCTTCCTCCTTCCCTCCCCAGCTAGCCACCCTCCCTGCGTCTGCCCTACCCTCCTCTGTCCTCACGTCGCCGCTTTTCTCCCTTTAATCCTCTGCTCCTTGCTGCCACTCCTGAGCCACGTGGCTCAGCGGGCCACTTGACTGTCTCCTGTTTCATGAAGGCCATACTGCAGGGTCCCATGCAGCACAGGACTTGGGATCTCCTTCTGAACACCGCTCGACGTTGGTTCTTGTCGTGCCTGGTGGAAGCCAGGAGCGTGCGGTTATGCTGGCATTATACGTGATGGGACGCCCCAAACATCTCTGCGTCCCTCGTACTGAGCTCATAGCCACCTTCCCGGTTCCCCCCCACCCCCCGCCCACCCCGGGGCTGTCCTGCTAGGGCTCAGGAGACGCCTAGAACAGGCACCGCCTCCCGGGGCTCCCCAGACGCACCCCACCTGGACACAGCTCTCGATTCTCCGATTGTTCCGGCACTCATGTATGCATCAAGCCACAAAGTGCTTGCCATGGCCCTGTCCCCGTCCACGGCTCCTTCTCCTCTGCCTGGAATCACTTCCCTCCTTTCCTCCCTTACCCCCAAACTTTTTTCGCTTTTTTTAAATTGGAAATTCTTCTCATGTTCCCTCTCAACAAAGGCTTGACTGCTGACAGCTAAACTGGGTTTAGATGAGTGATTTATTTTATGGCAGGTTGTAAGATGGTAGTAAAAGGAGACTGCCTAGCTCTTCTGCTGGTTTTACTAAAACACTTGGTCTCTTTCAGTCCCAATCCCCTCCCCCACCCAAATGGCCATGGTGTTTTAATAAAAAGCAGCCATTTCATTGGCCTGAGCCTCCTCCATCCTACGTGGTTTCTCTGAACGCCTGAAACAGCTTGTCCAGTGGGCCTCCCCCTGGTTTCCAACAGGACAGTCGTCACCTGGAATGAAGAGATCTCAGTGTCCAGAGAGAAACGTCCCTACTTGATGGCCAGTCTGTCTTCCTGCTGTTCTATTTTCTTATCTTATTTTATTTTTTCTTGAAGAATAATTGACATATAATAGATCTTCTTGCTGTTTTAAACTTCTGTACTCTCCCTGCTGGTCTTGGGGAAGGGTCTCAAGATCCCAGTCCAAAACGACTGGATTTATGTGGCTTAGGTTATTTTGGAATCGAAAATGTAGGCCGATCAAATAGTATAAAGTCAACGGGTGTAAAACCACGAACTCACAAAATCTAAAATTAGACACAAAGAGGGCAATGTCTTGCCTTGGATTAAAAATTTGGCAGTTTGGGGATGAACTGTGAAAATTGTCTTCTGCTATAATTAATTTTTTGTACTTCTGAAATTTCTTGCAGTAACATCTACATAACACGAGTTATCATTTTACCCGTTTTTCAGTGCCCAGGATACAGTTCAGCAACGTTAAATGCACTCACCATCCCTCTTGCCTTTGGGAAAGTCTGTCCCCATGAAACACTGACTGCCAGCCCCCGCCCTGCGCCCCTCTACTTTCTGCCTCCCTGAATTGGACCATTCTGGGTAGCTCTCATAAGTGGAGCATCATTCTGGAACAAAGCAAGCCTCTCCTTGCATTCTCTCCCCCTCCTGGTCCCCCTGGCCTGGTCCTTCACCCCTTCTGCACCCGCCACGTTGCAAGCACCTTGGTAATTTGCTGCGCCAGTGGTACGACATTGCTTTTCGGTTTTCTTCATTTGCTTGCGTTGGGGTACCATTAACCCTTCCCTCCGCTGTGTCCCCCTGCAGTCTTGAGTATCCGGGGAGCCCAGGAGGAGGAGCCGACAGACCCCCAGCTGATGCGACTGGACAACATGCTGCTGGCAGAGGGGGTGGCGGGCCCCGAGAAGGGTGGTGGTTCGGCAGCGGCGGCAGCGGCAGCGGCGGCTTCGGGGGGCGCGGGCTCCGACAACTCAGTGGAGCACTCCGACTACAGAGCCAAGCTGTCCCAGATCAGACAGATCTACCACACGGAGCTGGAGAAGTACGAGCAGGTAACCGCGGCATGGGGGCGTTGGGCACCCCGGCCCTTTAGGAGGGAGGGTGAAGAGCCTCGGGCCTCAGGGGGCTTGCAGAGCCCCAAGGGCCAGCCTCTGCATTTCTGCACCGAGCCCCTGGCTGGACTGGAGGCCACTGAGTCCTCAGTGTCCCCTATTAAAAACCCAGGCACACTGGCCGTAAAGGCATTTTAAAAACTTAAGTTGTAAGTGATGATCTCAGGAAACATTAATAGCCAATATAAGAAATGTTCAAGTGGGGGCTCTAGAACATTTGCCCATGGCCTGTAGCCCGGGTCTCATGGGGTAAAAGAGGTCACTGACAGTCACCACCTGACCTGTGGGGAGGTCGTTGACTCGTACGGCCTTCTTTTGCTCCGTATTTGCGGAGGATTCCTCATCTTCCCAGTACTCATGGAACCGTATGGGAAAAGATACTAAAACTTGGCCTTAAAGTCCCTTGCTCTACCCAGATTCAGCTCAAGTGAGAATCAGACCTGTTCGTTTGATATATGATACGGAATGCGATGCTCACCTCCCTCCATAAGAAGAGTAGAGAAGGGCTCAGGGAACCCCTGTCATCAACAAAGTTGGATTCCAATCCTGACACTCCACCGATGGTCTGTGTGGCACAGTGGTCCACGTAGTCTTACCCCAAAGCTGGTGATGTACGGCAAAGAGCTGTAGATTTGGAGTCAGGGATATCACAGGACCATAAAAACCATATGAAGAAGAGCATAAGGAAGGCTTTAAATTACAAAGCAGTATATATAAATGTAAGGTACTCTAATTATAACAGAGCTGCTCTCTCCAAGAGGCCCTCCCCATACACACACACACACACACACACACACACACACACACACACACACACACACCACACACCACACACACGCACATGGGACTTTACATATCAGTTCTCCTTCCTTGGGTCTGTATGAGCAATACTACTTTAATAGGAGTCCCTTATATCAGCCTTTCTTCCATCAGTAGGTGACAGATATGTTTGTTGTCACCTTGTTGGATGCAACATTATCCTGAAGGTCTATAGTTAACTTACTTTCCTTGAATTCTTAGCTTTCTGGTTTCCTGTTCTTTTTTTAAGAGTCACAAAAGAAGAGGGAGAAAAAGCAAAGGCAGAAGACCCCCTCTAGTCCACTTACGACTGTCTAGGTAGAAGGCAAATGCAAACCTAATAGAAAATTTAAATTTTTAAAATAGAAATGGGTATTTTAAAATTTAAAGTGAAGAGAGTTTCATCATTGCACTCCTATCTACCTTCGAAATGGATTTCTACCAAGTCCCTTCTTTTATGGGGGGTGGGGGGGGGGACTGCTGTGAAGCTGGCAGCCAAGCATGGTGCAACTCAACCATCAGATAGGCGTAGGGACGGTTTGAGGGGAGGGGAATAGCAGCGATCTTATGGTAGAACCTGTGAGTCACTGCCTTTTGCCTTCTCAGGAAAGAGCAAATGTTCTTACCACAGTGTTGGCTCATGTAGACACTTCCTGAGATCTCAGGGGATGCTGAACCCAGAGAGCTGGCTGATCCCTGAAGTTTTCCTAACCTGATCCATCATGTTAAGAGTTCAGTTGGCCCTAACCTATGGGATAGCTTGGGAAGACAGAGGGGGACATTTCCTATAAAGGTTCCTAGCTGGCCTATTGAGTTCTCCCTACTCAGTGCTGTTCCTACCTTACCTTCAAGACTAAGCCTGGTTCCTGGCAAAACAGCCTGTCTAGACTTGCCATCCAGGTTAACTCTCACCACACTCCAGGGGTACAAGAAGAACCCAGAGGGTGGCCTTCCCCCCCCCCATTAAACCCGTAACTGGGATGGATGTTAGCCTGGTAGCTGCTGAAAACTGGCTCTGTTCTTAGCTCAGGTTGTCAGCAACATAGAAGAACTGACTGCTGACTTCTGCCAGTTGCACTTGTTGCTCAAGGTCATTTTGTGGTTGGGTACCCAGGACAGGCATGGTCAGCCTCTCCATTTTGACACAGGTGAGGAGATGGAGGTCAGAGGGCTTGTGTATGTGGGTCAGACGTCCCATGAGGGACGGGGGTGGCCTTGGAATCCAGTTTCTGACCCTTAATCCAGGGGCTCTTATCGGAACACCACCTGACTAGTCGCACTCCATACAGAGAGAGTGTGGACTTGTGTAGGCCGTTAAGGAGTCAGCTTGTCTTCTGTTACTTCCGTGGACGAGAGAGGCTGGGGTAATCATATTCTCCTTCAGAAACTTCTCAAGGCTATCTACCTGCTTTAAATAATAAAGAAGTTGGAAACCAGAAATTTAAGGAGAGACTCCCATCAGTACAGAACAAATTACATAAGTGGGGGGGTGTAGTCGTCTATATCTCTTATTCTTAAAAATACAAAAAGATCATTTCCTTAGTTCTATGGACATTTTCTGGATAAGAACTGAATCCTATTTAACACACTTTAGGCACTTCGTAATTCACTAGTGCCAGTTACATCGTTACTTACAGTACATAGTGGATTGTAGGGAAATTAGGCCATTAAGATCCTAGCTAGTATGTCTGGGAGCTGTATCTTCTTCATTTTTCTGTGACGGTTCCTCGTGGGAGCTTTTTTAAAATCAGAAAACCTCAGGGGCACCTGGGTAACTCAGTTGGCTAAGCATCCGACTCTTAAATTCGGCTCAAGTCATGAGATCAAGCCCTGCACCAGGTTTCATGCTAGTGGAGAGTCTGCTTGAGATTCACTCCCTCTGTCCCTCCCCCCCCCCCCGCTCAAGCTCTCTCTTTCTCTCTCTCTAAAATAAATAAATGAAATCTTTAAAAAACAAAAAAATAAAATAAAATCAGGAAACTTCAGTAAAGTAAAAACATTGCTCTCTACTTTAGTACTTGAGTGAATGAAGTTGCCAAATTGGCTATTAATCGTTGACTCTGTTATTTTTGTTCGTTTTAAAACGTTTTTAGTATGGTGGTGATAGGTAACTAGACCATCAATTAGCTTTCTGCTAATTAGGTATCATGGCCCTCCTCAACCCCATCCCTTAAAAAAAAAAAAAAAGAACCATCTATCTGAATCAGCCATCGTTTCACCCTGAGGTTATTAAATAAAGAAGCTTCTAGAGATTTTCATTAGAAAGAAAGGAAGGAAATTATTTTATTACAGTAAAGGGTGTTGGTAAAGCGCCTTTCTAGCAGATCATGGAGGCAGTAAGGTATTTAAGAGCTGGTATCTTCTAATAGATAAAACCGTGATGTCAGAAGGCTGAATTTTGTTCCAAGTGTCATTTAAAAAATGGATGCTTGTGGCTTTGCAGGGTTCTCCAGCTTTGAGAAGTAATGCTGCTGGGGCCTGGGTGAGGCTAAGTCTGTAGGGCTGAACCGGGCTGGGTTAGTCGGTTCACAGCTAAAAAGAATCCTAAATCCCTGTCACGTTCTTTGCTGACATTGGCACCAAATCCAGTTTGAAGGAGGGAGGGAAGAAGACGGGCTAACCAGGGTGTGGGAGGGAAGCTTAAAACTCTGGCGTCTCGAGCAGGACATTCTGAGAGGGCTGGTCTTTAGTCAGTGGCTCCCAGCAACGCCCTTGACCTGGAACGTGGGCAAGGTTCGAAGGATTTCCCTTTGAAATCCTCGACTCTCTGAGGGGCGCCTGGGGTGCATGGCAGCTCTCGAAAATGACTGCCTTTATGACTGTCCACAGCAGAGGCTCCCCACCCCCTGCCCTCGTCCCCTGTCTCAGAAATTCCAGCCTGTGAGGGTTCTCTTTAATGAGCAGTTGTCACCCCAACTGTCGTATCGGGAATGCCGGACCTAACAGAGGCAGCCCGGCTTCCAAAGCCACAGGCTTGCAGGACCTGAGGAGGACGTGGTGTGGGTCGTTCCTGGAAAAACCTGGATCGTCACGTCCTGTCCGTCTAAAATGGACTTGGAACTGGTCTTCGCTCTCTGTTGTGTGCTCCTGAGCAGCTGTTCAGCAGCTGCCTTGTTCCCACCTCAGCAGTGGGTGAAAAGACCCCACTGTCTGTTTATGGCAGAGCAGAAAGGACTCCAGGATAAAATGTCTTGAATAAACATCAGATACTGTGAGTATTTTTATTCCCCGTAATGACGCACGTTATTATTAGCCCAGCCACTGGGACTCCCCAGCAGAGAGGAGTACACTTGACAATGCCTCCTCACATCCAGCCCGTCCCCTGTTGGAGCCCCCACCAGGTGAGGAGGCTGCAGGCCAGCGAGGGGCCGTGTTTGCCCATGGAGCTGGTCGGGATGCTTGCTCTGTGCCTAACCCTGCACTCCCCACCCCGTGGCCTCTTAGAATCGACTCGATGCCATGCCTTATGTCCTTCTCTTTGTTTATAAGTGGGGGGTGGGTCGGCAGGGAAGGAGCTTATCATACAGATCTGGGGTTTATATAGAAATTTTCTTGGTGGAGAGCAGAATGCTAGATGGATCTGATCTATGGATGTATCTTCAGCATGGGCCTGCAGAGGAGAAAGAAGGTAATCATGACCCTGTTTCATTTTACCAAGAGGGAAACTGGCTCCCGGATATATCCTCACATAGCCAGACACACACCTAGTAACTCCTCTGACCCTTACTATACCGTTTGAGGTGGGTTACTGCCACCCCTATTTCACAAATAAGGAAGACAAGTCCCAGAGAGGTTAGGTAACTTTCCAAGGTCCCACAGTGAAGTGAGGCCCAGAGACAGCGTCTGTATGCAGGCCGTCCAGGCCCCTCTTGCCCACTCTGCTGTGTCCGTGAGCACAGTTCACTTCATCCGCAGGTCACTGTACAAGACCATGGCGCTGCTGGCCTTGCTCAAGGGGAGGAATGATTGAATCCAATACCTCTGACAAATAAAATGAGGCACCGAGTGGTGAAAGGCTTTGCCCAGACACTCATGGAGGCGGGCTCGAAGACCAGGCCTCCCAGTCCCCAGCGTAGATGCAGCCCGGCGGATGCATCTGCCGAGCTATCTTTGGCCGACCACCCTCGAAGGATTTCTTAGAGAAACGAGGAGTGAATGTGTCGTTGTTAACTGCGTTCCTGACAGATAGGAGAGAGGCTTTGTGCTGTAAATGCAGTGTTATCATTAATGAGTGTGCTTCTGGTATTGATACTAAGTTGGAGCCCTTTGAGTCCCTAGTTCTTCGACTGTGAAAGACCATCTTGTCTGTTCCATTTACAAATCTAATATAGTCTTATAACATTACTGTAGGTTAACCCGTGAATAGATATTTTCATCTGAGGGCTCCGCTAAGGAAAGCAGACTTCAAATGTTAACTAATAGTCACCAAAAGGAAGGCCAATGGTGTGCAGAGGAGCAAGTTTGGGCTCTGGGAAAGGACAGAAGTCCCCAGCTTGGAATAAGAAGTGTTCAGGTCCTGGCTCGGCTGCTCCCTTTTTGCTGTGGGCCTTAGGAAAAAGGCCCTCCTCTGCCCCCCACCCACACAGTTTACACACCTGGAAAATAAGGAGGCGGGAGGCAAAGCGATCTTTAACCTCACCTCCAGAGCTGATGGTATGTGGGTCTAACTGGAGAGGTTTCCTTTCTGCAGGGATGGCTCCTGAATTCTCTCCATCATGTGTTGATGCTACTTCTACAAGGCCTCTGAGGACAGATTCCAGTTTCTGTTGTGGATATGGTGGGTCTTCAGGAGGCCAGCAGAGGAGGGAATTCTCGTAATAAAACTGAAAGGAGAAATGGGTGGATGAGAAATCTCCCGGAAGAATTAGCTTTTAATTTCATGATTCCGTCCTTCGGGCTGTTGACGCATCCCAAAACTGGACATGTGGAGGTTCTAATATATCAGAGATAATGAGCAAGGTAGAAGTTTGTGCTGTATCTGACCCCAAACTCTCTTTCGCTGTTAACATTGGGGTAAAGGGTTGTGGGGTGTATTTTATACTAGGATTCATGGTGCCAACCTTTCACTGTAGTAAAATACATGGAAAAAAAATGATTAAGATTTCTCTTTACCTTTTAGAAAAATCTCAATTGTGGCCAAAGTTAGAGTCAAACAGGATGAAAGGTATTTCTAGGCCAGTCATTTATTTTATCCCTCTGATGTGACAAAACCCCCACAGACTAGCTGAGTTGTCTCCACGTGTGCGAGTCTCTAGAAAAGCCCACGCGGCCCTCCGTCCAGGCCCGGACCCTCCACACGCGCCGGTGTTTACTGTCCTGCCATTCCAGGCATGCAACGAGTTTACCACCCACGTGATGAACCTCCTGCGGGAGCAGAGCCGGACCAGGCCCATCTCCCCAAAGGAGATTGAGCGGATGGTCAGCATCATTCACCGCAAGTTCAGCTCCATCCAGATGCAGCTCAAGCAGAGCACATGCGAGGCCGTCATGATCCTGCGCTCCCGGTTTCTGGATGCGCGGTGAGTCACCGACGGGGCCACCTGTCCCCCGGGGGGGATCCCGGATGCAGGGTTGGGACCCACACCTGTCCCTCTCTAAAAGCTGCATTTTCACCATGTCAGAGGCCAAGCAGAGTGGCAGCCTGCAGAAGCTTCTGGGGTCTGGGGAGGGAGACTGCCAAGACTCCATAAGCCAGTGGTTTTGGACAGCTCCAAACAGGAAACCACGTAATGAGAGAGGATGCTTTCTCTTACCCCTGCCAGTCACTCTGAGTGAGAGGCAGGGGTGGCTGAGGTGGGTGAGAGGAATGACAGCATTTTCGTCCCACTCGGTACCCCTTTTACAGGTGTGTGTTGTAGCTCTGGGCCGGGGCGGCCTCACTGGATGCCGCCGTGACCCACGTTCTCCAGAAAGACGGTGCAGCTTGAGAGCTGTGATCTTTTCTGCATTACAGACAGGTAGCGAGTGCACTGAGTTCAGCTCAACAAATATTTTTAAGTAGATCGCCATGTGGCATCCTCTGAGCTAAGTTTCCGGAGCACAAAGAGGAATAGGACCTGGTCCCGTGGGCCCGGAGGAGCAGGGGCTGGTCGGCTATGCGCCAAATTTTCAATCAGGGTTTGATGTTTTCCATCGGGCATTGTTACTCGTGACCTCACTTGTGAGTTCATAGAATTCAGTCAAAGAAACCCTGGATAGAAAGGTCCTCAGGGCGCCTGAGTGACTCAGTCAGTTGAGCATCTGCCTTCGGCTCAGGTCATGATCCTGGGGTCCTGGAATCGAGTCCTGTATTGGGCTCCTTGCTCAGTGGGGAGCCCGCTTCTCTCTCTCCTTCTGCCCCTCCCCGAATCATGCCTTCTCTCTCTCTCTCTCTCTCTCTCTCTGACAAATAAATAAAATTTAAAAAAAAAAAAGAAAGAGAGGTCCTCTTAAAAAAAAAAAGATAAAAACTGAGAACAGAGAACCAGTAATCAGTTCTTGGCCCATACTCTCCAGACCAGTGGATTTATCCAGATCCTTCTGGTTTCTTTAATTTTTGACATGCGGCCTGCAAGATGGTGATAATCCTATCTTTCATATACTCGAGAGGAGGGTTTTAATCATTGATCTAGCAGACATGTTTTCAGGGTGTGGGTGTCCTTTGCGATCGACAGCCCGTCTCAGATTAGCCAGCTTCTATAAATGCAGGTTTCACCATTCATTACTTCAATTCCTGAAGATCATCCCAGGCTATGATTTCAGTTAGAACTTCACGTGTGTCAGAGTCGTGTGCCATTTTCATGATCTACAGTTTTGTCCCTTTTCAATGAGATGGAAAGATTCACTGCTCCTTGTCGAAGTTGTTCACCCCCGAACTCATGCATTATTCAGCTTGCTTACCTGTATTTCTCTCTGTTCACAACTGTGGTTATTGCAGTCCACAGACCTCTTTAAAACTCCCCGGCATCTCCTAAACTCCCTTTTATTCAGTGTGTTTTGGGTCACATGGAATATGAGTTGAGAGTACCAGCTAGCGAGATGCATCTCTGGGCCACCGGAATTCTATAGGGTAAGTCAAGAGAAAGTGCACACAAAGAGAGTTTTATCCAGCTGGGCATGGTGATGGGGGTTGGGGGGGTGGGGAGGCAGAGTCTCCCTGAAGCAGGGCCCCCATGTATCTCCCTCGCCTCGCGACCTGCTGCCAACCTGGCTTCTCGAAAGCAGTTGAGTGCAGAGTGCAAGTGGCTGGTGGCCTCTGTCTGGGTCCTGTGCCTGTTTGGCCACCACCGCCCCTCTGCGTGTGTTGCTTCCATCCCCATGGAAACCACCCTAGTTAAAATTCTGGAGTTGGTATTTGTGTGGGCAGATATTGAAAAAGAGAAAAGTCAGGCCCAGACTGGATTCTCACCCAGAGAGAACCCGGGGAGAAGGGAGAGGCGGAATCCTTGTCTTGTTGGATTTCTGCTCGAGGTAACTGTGCTGTGTGCAGTTGAAGGTCAGGCTCAAAACCGGGCGAGCTTTGTACACCGTTCCTGTCACTTCCACCAGCCTTCGCCTAGAGGGTTCCAGTTGGCGTCAGAAGAACAATCACTTACGAGAGGGTCTCTTTCCCGCTTTGGTTGCAACCTTTGATTCAGTGCCTCTGAGCCAAGTCTCCGAACTACAACAACTAAGCTTTTGTCATTGTTACTAGCACTTATTTTGAGGGTATATTTGGTATCGGTGAAAGAGTGTAACTCCAAATGCCAGCCCACGGCTGAGCAAATGGCTTTCCGGGCTCAAAAAAGAAATGTTTACCCAGACCTCGTGATTGGGGTAGTTTCTATCACTGCTTCCAGTGCTGTAGTTAGAGAGCTAGCTAAACAAACCTCAGTAAGAAAGAGAAACCGGTGCTGATAGCCACGTGTATCTGAGGGGCAGGGCTTCATCAGTGAAGGATTTGGTGGAAGACGAATGAAATACAAGGGAAGTTTGACTTAGTAACAGCATTAGTCGTTGTAATGTCACAGGCGTGTGGAATCGAATGGTGCTACTTTGTTACAAAATACTCCTTGTCTCCGTTTTCTGTTGCCACCTAACAGATTATCGCAAATTTAGCAGCTTAAAACAATACAAAGATACTATTGAACAGTTTCTGTGGTTTAGGCATCTGGGCACAGTTCAACAGGATCCTCAGCCCTAGTCTCACAAAGCTGTAATCCAGGTGTCAGCAGAGCCCATGATCTCATCGGAGGCTCAGGGTCCTCTTCCAAGCTCATTCCCGATGTGGGCAGAATTCAGTTCCTTGTGGTTGTGGGACTGAGGTCCCCAGCTCCCAGAAGCCATTCGCTCCCTCTGGCCAGCTCGCGTCTTTACTGCTTGCTTTGTTCCTGGAAACCAGCAAGAGAATCTCACCATTTTAAGGCTTTAACCTAATTTCCCTAAACTAACAGGACGGATATCCTTTCTTTGTCACAGCCCCACCCATACTCGGGGGAGGGCGGGGATGCCGGGCTGGAATCTGGTACCTTCTTAGGATTCTGCCTTCCATACTCCTCAGCTAAGCACTTGGTCCAGGTTTGTCCATTCAAGTCATACCCTTTTCTCTTCCTTACATTGACTTAATTGTGCCAGAAAAAAATTCGTCCACCCATTCATTCATTCATTCATTCATTCTGCATTTATTATCTTATGCTATGGCCCAAACATTGTGCTGTCAAACTTGGTAAAGTTATTGTCAGAACCCTCAACACAGTTTTCTCAGTTGAAAGAGAGAACTTACACACACTCTTAATGATTTTCAAGCAATAATTTTAACTTCTGTTCAGTAACATTTTGCTGGAGGCAACAATAAGAGGATAAACAGCTGGAAGACACCTCTTCATTTCACCCCGAGAGAGGGATTATGTTAAATGAAGTAGTAAAGTGGAAGGCAGGCAACGAGAGGGAAGGACGTGCAGGAAGGTCTGGGCCGACTGGCCTGTATTTAGACTGATTTATCTCATTGAGTTTTATTCTCTGCCGGATGCTGTAGTAGCCACTAGAAGAACTAAGAGGGAAAAAAAACAGCATATAAATAAGGGTCTTACCTTCAAGGAGCTCCTAATCTTGTGGGACAAACAGACACTCTTATGAGTGAACATAAAATAGCGTATTCCTCGTGAAGTACCTCTCCCAGTGCCGCCTGAGGGGGTGGCAGAATGTGGGAGAGGGCAGACAGTTTGGGATCCCAGAGCGAGCAGTGTGTTTGCCAAACAGAAAGACTATCATGGGCAAAGTGAAACAACGTAAGCCAACATCAACAAGCATTACTTAGCTGGAATGCTTACTATGTGTGAGGCGCTAGGGTTTCAAAGATGAGGGACACGTGGCTCCTTCCCTTGAGGAACTTGTTTAGCCGGGGAGACCTAGGTAAACCTGTGGCAAATGCTGTGGGAGAGAAATACACAGGTTGGTGTGAAGAGGCACGGGAGTGTAAAAGTCACGAGTGTCTTTGGGGGCATGGAGAAGCAAGCATATGATGTGGCTAGACGAAATTGTGCAGAGCGTGTTTAGGACTGGGGGAGATGAGGCACTAGGGATAGGAAGGTCCACTGAAGACCCTTAACTGTACCCGTGAAGACTTCAGATTTGTCCTGAGAAACGGCAGAAACCATTAGGGCTGTTTAAGGAGGGAATGCCGTCATTTAGAGCTTAAGTTCTCAAACTGCACTGCTTGGGTTCAAATTCTGGCATCCTTTGTAAGGTGGGCTAAGTGGCCTATCCTCCCTAGGACTCTTGTCTGTAAAATGGGGCTAATCCTATGCACAGGAATAAATAAGATAATATGAAGAAAAAAAACTTAGTATAGGGTTGGAATATGGTATTCACAGCATAATTCACACAGTGCTTCCTTAGTATATTAGGGATCACCACATTATATATTACTTATTATCTTATTTATTGTATTTGTATTTTATTATTATTATCATTACCATTACTATTATTGTGACATGATCAGATCCATGGTCTGGGAGAATTACTGTAGTGCTTCTCTTGAGGACGAGCTGAATGGGACAGGGGACACAGTAGGACCCCGCTATTAAAGCCCCCGTGCTCCTCAAACTGGGTGAACACAGAATAAGTATGAAGTATCTTCCCCATTTTACTTAAATATGCAGGGGAAGATCATTTTCCTTTTAAGATAAACATTGTGTACATTACAGAATAGACTAAAGCAAGAGGTTTGAGAGACATTTCATGCTTTTGATGGTGTGTAGCAGGGCTGTGAGTTCACGCCTTCCAGAAAGTGTTTCTGGAATGCATCGGTCTAGAGTTTGCACTGTCTGGTAAGTGGCTATTTGATTTTTAAATTTAAAATAATGCAAACTGAATTACATTGAAATCAATAAAGTTTCAGAATGTCCCGCTCCAGTTACACCAGCCACATTCGAGCTGCTCAGTGGCCACAAGCAGGCTCATGGCTGCTAGACTGGGAAGCAGAGATCTAGAACATTCCCATTATTGCTGAAAGCACCACCGTGCAGCACTAGCCAGACCATTACATGATAGAGAGTGGCTTCTCTGAACCTATTTCAAAAAGAGAGTGACAATAGGCTGGAATAAAAGGGTTGGATTTGAAAGAATAGAACTGACAGGGTTTGCTTTGGGGCATCATCATCTGGTGAAGGTAAGACAGCAGGATGTGTTAAGAACCACCCCGAGGTTCTGGCACCTGCTAGGTACTTGAATATTTGAATGAACAAATAGATGAACAAATTAGACACACTGTACCGTGTCCATGGTGATGTGGGGAAGGAAGACAATGGAGCTGGTTTGGGTGAAATGCGATGCGAGTTTTGGAGATACAGAGTGTGTTGGAAGTGCCTGGGGATTGTGGTGGTAGACGGGCAGTGACTCAGGAGAGTCGCTGGGGCAGGAGGTAATGCATTTGGTATTTAGCAACAGTGTCTGGGGTGCCTACACCTCCCACTCTTGACTCACTCTGATTCAAAAGGTTTCATTCCTAAAATGCCACATTTATCCAGTACTATTCGATCAACCTCCACATTCCTTAACATTAAACACCCAGATACCTAACTCCCAAGGCTTTTGATTGGCTCGAAGTCACAAATGTTAACTCACCAAGCTGATACCACTTCAAGCCAAAGCCAGGTGTCTAGCTCAAAGAACCTTATGGTCAGAAGTGTCTCCTTTTCACTGGGTGTCCTGAAGTCTTGAAAAGTCTTGATCTTGGGATTTCCAAGGCCCTCCGTGGAGACAGCCACTGAGAGCAGTGTAATAAGGGATCCCATCAGAGTCGATGAGACTGCCCAGGGAATGTTGCACAGCAGTGTGAGAAGCGAGTCAGGAACAGCTTGTCGGCACCAGCCCCGTAGTACCACCAGCTCATTCCAGGGAGGCTTCCTTTGAGCTCAGTTGGAAGACTCCCAAAAAATACAGTGTGATGCTAATGCAGACAGCTGAATGAATGAACCGAGGTTCTCCCAATTAGGGGAGCCTTCAGGGTCCAGTTCCCCAGGCCTAAGACAACTGTTTTCTTTGGGCAGAGAAGAAGCCAAAGGTTATCTAAAGCCTGGCCTGGAGCCCATGTTGGCCGCTTGGCTATCTTCCCCCAAATTCCCAGCAGACAAGGACTTTTAACAAATGCCTATTTTTTGAGTTGGGCTTTTTATTTTTTTTTAATCCATTCTGCCCAATTTCTGATGTTGGGTGACCCAGAAACTCAGCATGATTTGGGAAAGTGACTTGGGCTTGGCATAGTCTGGACAGATGTGGTTAATACCTATGGACAGATGGTGTTCATCCGGTAAAATCAGGCACTTTATTGTGTTAATTAATCCAAGTGGGACCCTGAAAATACAATAGTAGCTGAATTTCTTGTCTAGCGAGGCTGTTCCGTGCTTTCTGTTGGGCTAAATCGGGAAATCCTGTGTCCTGGCATAACCAAGGATGTTCTGGAAATCTCTTCCATAAGGAAAAAGCTTTTGATAAAAGCAAGAAAGGCAAAGCGCTAATGGAGCTAATTTAAAGGTGGAGTCCCCACCGCCTTGTGGAGGGCCAACCAGCTTCTACTGTGAGCCTGGCATCCCCAAACAGCTCCCGCAACTTGCCTACGGGCCTTAGCTGTGAGGAGGCAGTAAAGTGTTTCTCACTTTAAATTAGTTCAATTAGCACTTTTTTTTTAAAGACAAAAATGCTTTTATTCAAAAAGTGGTTCTCTTCCTTTCAGCGACCTGTGTATTGAAGAGATTTCTGCGGGCTTTTGTTTTACCATTTAGCAGCTGTTCTTGCTTGAAAAGTGCTACTTGTCTCCTTCTGTGGGAGGTCACACAGTCCAGGGGGCTAATTTCAGTGCCTTCCACACCCTCTTCCCCAGATGCCTTTAAAAAAATGCTGTATGCATTTACCTGGGAATGGAATAAAGGGAAAATAATAACTTATTTTTAATGGAAGCCTCCAGAGTCTTTGTAATTGCCAGGAGGCAATTTGTACGTAAGAACAAGGTTGGGTTTTGTAGTTAAGCAGACCTGAATTCATACCTTGGTTCTACAGCATACAGATACTTTCAGTGACGGCTTTGGCAGCTGGCCCCTTGGTGCAAATTTTCTCTAATCCACTTTTTGCTCAAAAATCTGTCTTTTCACAGAAGTAGATTCTCGTCTCTCCCTCTTTATATGTATTTGGTGTGAACTTTTTTTTGTCGTTCTTTCCTTTCTCTTTCTGAAGGCGGAAGAGACGGAACTTCAACAAGCAAGCGACGGAAATCCTGAATGAATATTTCTATTCCCATCTCAGCAACCCTTATCCCAGTGAGGAAGCCAAAGAGGAGCTAGCCAAGAAGTGTGGCATCACAGTGTCCCAGGTGAGGAGCCGTCCAAAGGCTCAGCCTCTAGCCTGACTCCGGTGGAGCCACATGGCGGGGTCTCAGAGGTGTTGCTCTCCTGAGCTTTCATGCCTTGCATGTTCCATTTGCTAAAGCCCTCACATGGCCAGGGAAGCACGTGAGGTGTTTAAGTAGGAGAGTTTCCAGGTAAGTACCTGGACAAACTTGAGAGGGACCAGCAGAAGTGGGAGAAGTAGAGTACAGTAGACAAACAGGGGTAGGGTTCTTCCCATTGAATGCTCCGTTGCTTCAGAAATGGGTCAAGGTTCTTGCCTGTCCTTGGAAAGCTGTCCGCATTTCTCATACTGTTTTCTCAAACACAGTCCATTCCTCAGCCCATCTTGTGCCCAACCAGGAAGGAGTCAGTGAATGGAACTTTTCAGTGAAAGGGACTCAAATGTGTTCTCTTGATGTGCTCGCTCTGTAACTGATGGAGTGTGGGAATTTTAACATGTCACTATGATTGCGTTGGAATGGTTGCACAAAATGTCACTGGGTGCCCCTTTTCCCCAAAGAGCGATAACCATAACAGGTGCCTTTGACGTGGAAAGGTACATGATAAAACATTTTTATCGACCTGGAGTCTTCAACATTAGTATGAAGTAGAAAAGTAGGCAATATTTATATGTATTTATATTTTGTCTACTCAAGGGATCTGTCCAAAACTTCTTATTTAATCTGAACCTCAAATACCACCCCTGGTCTCTAGCTGAGAACAGTAATGATGGTTCTGAAAGCTATCAGAGAAAGTTCCTCTGAAATATGTCTCATGCAAGAGAACCGTATGTACTGGCCTTTCCCTAAAAGAGGTGGGGGAGTGGGGGAAAGAAGCCTACTGTAGCAAGAAACTTCGCTTAGCATCTTCCAAGCAAAATAGATGCTGTTTTGTATACACTGAGCATTTGTACTTCCTTGAATTGAATCCTGGCTTCTGTTACTCCCTGCAGGGTGCTGATCCCATCAACCTGTGCTTAGCTAAGCCCAGTTAGGTCCAGTCAGAATATAGAACTCCACACAGAGTGTGTGCCATGAAGAGCTCACCAGGGCCTCCCCAACAAGCTGTGGGGGATTTTGCAGCAGCCTTGGAAACACCAGCCCTTTCAACTCAGACCTTCCGCAGGTGCTTTGACCCAGGTGAAGGTTGTTCCAGTCTGAACCCTAGGAAAGCAGAACATGAGTGGTCAAACTCCAGTCACCTGGTTTTATCTAGGTCTCTAACCATTCTTGTCCAGCCTTTAGATCCCTTGTCCACAAGAAAAGACATTTGATGGTTTTTGATATTTGCTGCCTGTTTGAGGAATGGTTCCGGGCACGAACCATATCACTAACTGACCATCAGTAAATTTGATACTGGAATCTTCTGCTTCTAAAGTAGAATTAAATCACTAGACTGTCTGAACTCTAATTCTGGGATTCAGAATTCTAAATCCCTATTGAAGGTAGAATGAACTCTTCTGGAGTTGGTCTGTATTCTATCTCGATCAAAGATGGACTCCTGGCCTGTTCCAGCAACTTTCACTTCCTTTGTAATGGAAACTCAGGTGCACATAGTTTGTCCATTAAAATGAATATTTACATACCGTATCACCTTTCCCTTTGCTTCACCCACCCTAAGGCCATGCCATTCTTCCTTCCCCATCACATGACTCCCTCGCAACTACAACAGAGCTGTTCCACTGTTGCCAAACAAGTCCCAGTGGGAGACAGTATGATATGATACAATAACAAGAGCATTTGTCTGGGAACATGTTTTTGTCAGGAGTCGACTGTGAGATTTTAGGGAACTCCCTCTTCTTGGGTCTTAGTTGTCCCATCTGCCAATCATGGTTTGTTGGACCACGTGATTTATTAAATCCCCCTTCAGTTCCCAAATCTAGGGAATCCCGATTTTGGACTTTTTTTATTGTAGCCATTTTGGGGCTGTCTCTTTCTTTCTTTTTTTGGGGGGGGGTTTGTTGTTTTTGTCAGTTTTTTTGGTTAATAATTACCCCTCCATCTTGGGGCTTCTGGGTGGCTCAGTCAGTTAAGACTGACTCATGTGTCTTCCTTCCCGCTGAGCTTTGCCATGGCTCTGCCCAGGCTCTTCAAACTTAACATGTTTGAAATGTGATCAAACTCTCCCCAGAGAACTGATTATTTTTTCCATATTACCTGTCTCGGACCGTGTCTGTCCTCTCTGTGTCCCTAGTGCCCAGCAAATGGTAGACCCTCCGTGACTATGAACAGCAAGTTAATTAATGAAAGCACTGATTATGTGCATGGCTCAGGACATCCAGTATCACCTCGTGGGCCATGTAGGGAATGCCTGAACTGACCAAGCATCTTGCCCACCTGTCTGTTCTTCTTGTTGAGAAGGGACTCACTCCCATAACACGTTCCTTCTTGTCTTCTCAAGTAGCTTGTTTAACTAGACCTCAGGTATTTCTTTCCTTCTCAAAAGCCCTCCCAAACTACCTTCATCTTTCCCCCTTTTTCCAGTGCATCCAGTTACCTTAGAAAAATCTCGCTGCCTCTTTTCCTCTCCCTCATACAAATAGTAAAAGTTATAACAAGGAAAGCATGAGTTTGGGAATGGAATTAGATATGCAGTGGTCCTAAAATGGCCCTTGCTCTCCTGTAGGCACCAGCATTTACAATGACTCAAGCAATTTCTCATTGAATTTTTCCCCTCTCATTTACTAATACTGCAATGGTACGGTTCGGTTTTGATAACAAAGGCTTGGCATTCCTCCCGTAGCATAAGCCACACAGGCAGAAGAGGGCTTACCTTATAAGATTTTTAACTTTGGCTAATGCATTTAAAAGGTAACTGTGGTTTTACAAAAATGTCCTTTATCTGCCATTGTTTGGGTAAAGAGAAACTACGTGTCAGCTGTGGTACATGTGTTACCAACTTTCTCTTCCCTCACCAGATTCATAGTTTGTTTTGTAATTTTATTTTAAAAAAACACACAACATTTTAGTTTGAAATCACATCTGGCCTATGGGGTATAAAGCGTTCCTCGTAAGGCAGGAATGATGGGGGTAAAACTTGAATTTAACTGTGTCGCCCCTTGTGTCTGGCAGGGGTCTTAGTATAAAGGGAGCGGGGATGCAGAATGAAGCCAGAACGGCTGCTGTGAGCCACATGAAGGAAATAAATGAACAAATGAAAGTAAATTAGGTTTATTTTTTGTATTGGCTTTAACATTTAAAGTCTGGAATTCAAAGGACTAATCTCTGGTATGCTTCAGTTTTTCCTCATGTAGATAACACCAAGCTTTGCTACAAAATACTTGGTGAAAACTATCGATCGGATTACCTTGATCCTAAGGTCCACAGTACCTGCAGCTAAGAATCTAGTCCATATTAGCATTATTCAGCTTCTAAAAATTTGAAATTACTCCTTCAGTGAGAGCACCTGTATGTCGATACAGATTTGTATGGATGATTACAAGTCTGTGCCTCTTGATTGCTCAAAGTCAGTGTTAGCGTTGATAAGTAACATTTCTCCTGAAATGCTATGTTTATTTTGGTGTCGTGTTCTTAAGAGGTAAGCAGTTTTAAAATGCTTGTCCTAAACTAAAATTGTCCAAATCCAAATCCAAATGAGCAGCTCCTCCGTAGGATGTTTTGCTGCATTGTTTTTGCTAAATGGTGTTGTATTAAGCAGGAGAACTGCATTGTGTGCAAGGGTCCCTCTTGGTGCCCTTCCTTCAGATCTTCTCATTGATGTTGCAAAATCAGAATAGGATCAGCCCGTGCAGCCTGCCTCCAGCCCTCCCAGTACCTTCCTTTTCCTCTGAGATGTTTGCGCAGGTCGGAATGTTAACTTTCTTCTCTTCTCTTTAACTGCTCCAGGTATCAAACTGGTTTGGAAATAAGCGAATCCGGTACAAGAAGAACATAGGTAAATTTCAAGAGGAAGCCAATATTTATGCTGCCAAAACGGCTGTCACTGCTACCAATGTGTCAGCCCATGGAAGCCAAGCTAACTCACCCTCGACTCCTAACTCAGCTGGTTAGTTTCTTCTTTGATTTGGGGGGATCGTGCTCCATTTTTGTACTTGTTTTTCCTACATTGGGGTTTTCTTTTCATTCTTTAGGTTTCCGATTGGTTGACTTACATATTTGATTGTCCCTTTTTGTTGTTGATGCCACTTGGGGTGTTTCCTCTCATTTCCAAAGAGCAGCGTGTTTTACTATTTATAAGATGGGCTTGTCTGGAGGTTTGCGCTAACGTGTTTAAGTTGAACAGACCCAAATTGGCTGGTTTTGATGAAAAGACCTTCACATTCTCCTTTCCAAGATGACAATGAGCTAGCTGCATCTAATACTTGGGCATAGTCCCTTGGGGGCTCTGGCATTTAGTGTGGTTCACATAAAGTTTTTATCCTTGTCTATTTTGCTGTTCCCATCACATACTGTTTGGGTGACCTACTAGCATACACTCTCTGCAGGAATATTCCTCATTGTAATGCTCTGGTCTGCAAAGCCAGACTGGGATGACTGGTATACATTGTTTAGAGTTGTTTTTCTTCACTGTTTCATTTTGTTGGTTTCTTTACGTAAACTATGAAGAACAAATTAATTCACATTATTTAGATTCCAGTCTTCCTATTATAATATTAGTCATGTGTTCTGCCCCTGGTTTTATTTTAGTAAGTGTGCATTATATCACTAACTTCAGAGTTTAGCCTAACACATAATACATTTTGGGGTTTGCCTAGTACCACCAGTTCTGAATTTCCACACAAGAAAAAAATAGTCGCTAATACATAAATGATAACCTTAGTGTTTGTATGCTATGGAAGGCATGTTGGTACTTTTTTTTTTTTTTTTTGTAAGGGAAACCCAGAAATACTTCCTTATTAAATAATTTTGGTCTCAGGTTATTCATTATAATGAACCAGCTGCGTTGATTTTGGGGGTGGGATGCCCATCTAAGAAAACGGATGCCTCCAACTTGAAGGGTCCCAGATTTAAATGTTTGACCATAAGATGATTAAAAATCTAATTTCTAACATTTCTGGGAGGTGCCTTTGACCCTGAAGCTTGTTTGTTCACTAAAATAAATTCTCCTTCTACCTTGTGGTGGATTGTTACTGGAGGCCTGTAAGGCTCCACACTCTAACGTCTTCTGTGAGCTTCTAGATGCCCTAATTTGTTATAAGGTTCTCCCAAGTCACTGGGCTGTACCACCATGGCTTTCTTTTGTTTAAATGGAATCATACATGAAGAGTGGCCTGGGCTTTGTAAGCATGGACATGGTAAGACAGTGTAGAATTCAATCTAGTTATATATTTTTCCTAGCACACCAGGTTGGATAACTCTGAGGAGCATATTTACCTTTTGAGGTTTGTGTGTGTGTATTTCCTTCTCTCCCCCTCCTGGCATGATTGACAAAGGATAAAGGCTAAGAGGCTCAGTAACCAGAGAGTTTCCTTCTTCCCCATCTGGTCAACTATTAAGCGTTTCAGACTCCCGGCAACACTGGTTGAATCGCACTGCTAGGCAGACGTGTTCACTTGTCTCTGGAAGAAGTACAGCCCTGTCAACATTAGCAGAAACCACACTCACCACTCCTGCAAAGGTTGTCATAATGCAAAACAGATATAAAAATGACTTTTTCCTGTCCCTGATATATCTGCATTGCAGATGGTTGAGCATGATTTATGACTAGTCCCTAGAAGGGCCCTGTGGACTCCCTTCATTACTAAAGCCGTAACTTTTTATTCTTTTCTAAAGCACTTAAAAAGAGAAAAGTAAGCATTTTAACCCCCCGCTCTGTGTTTAAGAATTATTTTGGCTCTCTTGGAATGTCAGTCAATGATTACAGTTTTCTAAAGAATTTTTCTGCTAGCTTAAACTTAGGTGACTATTGTAAGCACAAAGTAAATTATTATGGAAAATTTGAGCTAAGCCTTCCAGTTGTGCCTAAATTGTTGGAAATAATATGCAGAGGAACCCCTTTGTAGTGCTTTTTTTTTTTCTACAGTAGAGACAAAAGAAGATACTATTGTATGTGTGCAATAGCGTGGGATTTTCATTCATTAACGTTTTAACAGAAAAGTTATACACGGGCTTTTCTGTATTTTCCTTTGTTCTTGTCACAACCCAAAGCATTGCACAGATGAAGTGAGTGCTTTAAAGTGTTCAAACTTTTCACATAGGGTGCTTATGATGTTGCATATTAGCTCCTTGATAATTCCAAAGGATAAAGGATCACTGAAATAGATACCAGTTTTAAATAAGAGGTTAATATGTGAAAATGAATTTTGGCTGAGTTTGAAGTCTAAGAGTTCTGGAACCTGGGAACTTTGTAGATCCTTAATATTGAAGCAGGGTATTTTTTTCTTTCCCAGAAGCTTTACTAAATATACATACTCATTTCTATTGCAAAGAAGATACTTGGCAAGTAAATCTTCTTCCCTCTAGATGCTTTTGTGTGGACAAGCAGTTCTTCAGCATCTTTATTTAGGTCACTTCTGAATATTCCTAGTTGTTGATATATGCCTGATCTCCTATTTCCTTAAGCATAATTCATTAAAATCACTTCGGGCAAGGACCCGTGGGGGACGAGCAAGCATGTAAAGAGAGATACTTGGCATGCTTCATATTTGACACCAGCAGAGTCGGGCAGAGTGGCTGGAACAAAGAGAGAGGGTAGAAGGAAGAGAAGAAAATTAAGTTTTCAAGAGAAAAAAGAAGCAAAAATGGGGGGCCATTTGAAGCAATCATTATAACCTTGGGTCCATACTTCTGCAGTCCCCTAGAGGGACACATTCTCATTTCTATTTTTGATGAGCTTAGAAAAGCAGGAGTAAGGTCTCAGAAAAACGGGGCCCCTTTTGGAAGGTTGGGTTATCTTCTGGAGAACATTTTAGCATTCAAGAAGAAGGAAATTGGCTTGGGCCTTGCAGATGTTTGCTGTGGCTTAGCATCAGCATTGATCTTTGATTAGATTCTGTGATCCGCGAAGCAATCGCAGGCTTATTGAGGCTCAGGACTCCCTCCCCCCCGCTTTGAATCTTCCTTTGCTGACTCTGTGTGTGTGTATCAAGGGCATCGGCAGGCTCGGCCATGAAAGCTTTTCTTCTGGCACTGTTTAGTTAGGGGCAAGCCCTTGTACATTTTTGTCGCACCCCCTAATAGAAGGTTTGGCACTTTTCTGGATTGGGGGAAGAGGATTGTATTAAAACCCCCTAGATTCTGGCTTCCTAAGAGAAGTTTATGTATATAATACACACAGTTAGAGAGGAGGTAACACATCCAGGGAGGTTGGCTGACACTTAGTAAATCCATAGGAACTCTTAGAATTTTTTTTTTTTAAACCAAGTGAAAGAATGTATCCCATGGGCTGTTTTCTGCTGTGTTCTTTCTTCCCTTAATTTCTAAGTAGAAAATGAAAACACAGCCTGCCGGAATTGGAACTCTAGAACCTTGCCACGGGCACCTTCTAAAGGGGTTTCCTGTCGAACCGGACAGGCTTTCTCTCTTGGGCCTTGTCCTAGGTAGAAAGTAACAATGATTTTTGGAGTTTGGAAGGGGAATAATCATGGAAGATAAGAGAAGCAAGCCGGAGACATAAAGAAGTTGTATCTAGCAAAGAGGCTCCACCTTTTGAGCCTCCAAATGGTGTTGAGAGTCTAGTCTGATCGGCTGCCACCCAGTCTCTCAGGAGCCTTGATTTCAAAACTGCAAAATGAAGGCAATACTCGTCATACATCTGTTTCATAAAAATGCTCTGAGGAATAACAAGCCAATCCTTTTAAACCCTTTGAGTTCCTCAGTAAGAAAAAGTAAGCCTCTCTTATTCTACGTCATTGGTTCTCAACAGGGTGAACTTGTACCTCAGGGGACATTTGGTAGTGTTTGGAGACATTTGGTCGTCAGGGTTTTGGGAGGCAGATTCTACTGGCCTCCAGTGACTAGAGGCCAGGGATGTGGCTGACCACCACCCTACAGTACCTAGAATGTTCCTCCACGATGAGCCCTTTTCCAGCCCCAGATGTCAATAGTGCCCATGTCCAGAAACCTTGCTCTAAGTTTAGATGTTATCATTAGTATTCTGGGGTTTTGGGGAGATGATGAAGTGAATTGTTGTTTTATTTTTTTTTCCCCTGAACAAATTGAAGTCTCCTAAAGACTCTTTAGAAACTGCAGCCTTCAGGAAATGATCTTATGAAAATGGATGTTAGCACATCTCCACGTCGTCATATTTGCCCGAGCCAGTGCACTAGAATCCAGAGGTGATCCATTATTTCCCGTGGAGTGCAGCTTTAGCTCTGTACGTGTCCCAGATGTCTGGGTGACAGCTTACACGAGCCACTTGCCTCCCTTCCCACACCAAACTCAGAACCTTTTAACTGGCGAGCACATCTTAAAATGTGCTTCCGGTAATTGCCGATGACTTTCCAGCCACCTGCTGCTGAGGTTCTTGACGGACCTTCTCCACAAGCCAGGTAATTCCGTAGGAGTTGAGACCTCGCAGCACCTCCGAGACAGCCCATTCGCTCTCTGTCAAGGGTACGTCCTTCTCAGGAAGTTGTCCATTCTGTGATGAGTTTTTTCTCCCAATGAAGAACATGTCTTCTCCTCATTTCGAGTTTTGCACGGACTTCTGTCTGCTTTCTTGTGGTGTTCGTGGCCCCTGGCCTCTTCTCAGAGCCATCCTTGCTTCTGGTTACTTATCAGAGAGTCAGAAGCCGTGGTCGTGTAGTACAGGGCCGTACAGAGACAACAAAATGCCAGAATAGCAGAGGCAAGAGCACAGGGACAATTCCTGCAATTACTCTGATTCAAATGCATTTGTACATGAAGGCCATTGATATGCGCATATTTATCTCTATGTATGTTAGGCAGCCAGACATATTTACAATTTATCCATGCACATATATTTTTTAAATCATCTGTGTCAATTGCAGTGTGTATCTTGTAAATGGCACATCCCATACCTTCATGGTTCCATGGATGCCGTGTTCCTTGGCACCAACGCAGCCCTTTGGGGGTTTCTCCCGTTTCTCAGCCTGCATGCTCATTTCCAACAAACCCGTCAGCCAGGCATAAGGAGTGTGGGTTTACTACAGGTATTTGGGAGAGAAAGAAAGTATCTGGGCATCAAACTGAATACTCTTGTGGGGCAAAAAGTTCTGATATTATATAAACAATTATAATTTGGGGCCCCGGAGCTAACAATTCCTGGTTCTGATGCCATCTAAATGTGAGCTTGTGTTGTAAGAATGCTGACAAAATGGCTCTTATTATTTAGGTTGTAGGTCTGATTAAAAGAAAGGTTGAGAAGGATGTTGATAGGACATTCAGGCCGGCTCGAGTCGCCCTCCCGCCCCCACAAAGAAAGCATTCCCTTCTTCCCACGACAACAGAGAGTGGAGGATCAGCTTATGTAGCACAAGAGCTAGCTAGTTCTTGCGTGTGGGTGGACATCCCCAAAACAAAGAAAAACAGAGATGTTTCCTACCTTGAGGGTCTCCCCAAGTGAACCATTTGGTTCTTCAAAATGGCTCCCTCCTTGGAAGTATGAGGATCCTATGAGCAGTTCAGCATAGAGCAGAGTGGCAGAGTGCAGAATTCATTGCTAGTAAAGTGATTCTTCTACAGCACAGAAAAAGCCTTCTCTTGAGCTCCGGGAGATAGCACTCTAGGAGAGCGCAATTTCCTACCTTGGGAGATTAAGAAAGTGTCAGAGCTGGGGCATCATTGCTGGGTGATCCCACACGGATGATGGCTGTCAAAATGTGAGGACAAGAGCACAGTTTGAGCAAGACAGAGTTGGAAATAGAGTGGAACTGACCTGGGTCCCTAAGGTCTCTCCTTTTCTAGGCTAATGTCATGTTTTAACCAAACCCTGCACGTTGAGCTTTCTTTCCTAATGCGCTGAGCTGCACGATGACTTCAGAATAATAAGAAGCTTCTCCACGCCCTTGTGTTGAGGCTGAGGGTGGGCTGGGTTTATCACAGTGCAACCAGGGTGCTGCCTGAAGGCTAACTATGTGGGAGAAGGCTTCTTCTCTGGGAGGGAAAAGCAGATGGTTGACTGCTCTTCTTGAGGCCCACTTTTATTATCGTAAGTGTTATTATTAGCATTTCATATTTCATGCATGCTTCGGAATTCCGGGCCCATTATTCTGTTTCACGTTCCTCCATCATAGCAGGTGGCAAGGGAAGACGTCACCATTCTCACATTCTTCTTGCAGTCCTTGAGGCTCTCTTGGGCTGCTTGCCACCCAGCAAGGAGCTTGACCTTCTTTCTAGAAATCAGGAATGTCAATGGACTCCCCATCCCGGGGCCAGCCCTAATGTGTGGCATTGCCTTCACGCACGCCCCACCCTCCCTCACCGGGGCGGCTTCCCACGTGAGGGCAGATGGGTTGGCAATAGCGTGTTTGGAAACCAGCCAAATAGCTCGTGTGCTCCATCATGGTGACGGAAGTACCATTGACTAGCCCATATTCTTCAGCTTGTGGTCCCCTGGCAACCCCTAGAATTTTGCGGCCATGAAAGAGAGGTCCTGGGGACCATTTCCAATTCAAATAGACTAAGTTGAGAAGAATAAATGCAAATAAATACTCCCTTTCTCAGCTTGAAGTCATTAAGGGGACACAGTCCTATTGACAACTTGCAGTAAGATGTGGCTTCACATAACATGAGCGATATGCACCCTTTATTGCTTGCTCTGTTCTTCATGCTACTAACCAGACTCTGTTGATGTTATTTTTATTTTAGTGTTTATTTGGGGGGGGTTGCTTTGCATGTCATTCTTCCTCTTGGCTGTTAGTTGCAGGGGTTGAGCCTTTTCCTTTCTGTGATTCAGGTGCCTCACTCTTTCCTTTCCAGGTTCTTCCAGTTCTTTTAACATGTCAAACTCTGGAGATTTGTTCATGGGCGTGCAGTCACTCAATGGGGACTCTTACCAAGGGGCCCAGGTTGGAGCCAACGTGCAGTCACAGGTAGGGACCCAGCCAATGTGCCACCAGGTGAATGCATTGGAGTCCAAGAGCCCTCGGTTGTATTGGCACTCGCCAGTCCTGTCCAGAGAGAGAGAGGAAGAGAGAGCGAGGGAGAGGGTGAGAGAGGGAGAGAGAGAGAGAGAGGAAGAGAGAAACGGGGAGAGAGAGAGAGAGGGAAATGTAGAAACAAAATCTTGCCAACGACAAAACCAAACCAAACCAAAGACAACTGTGGTCATGGGGAATCTCGTCCACACTTTGTGAATGCATTTGGCTCTGGCTTGTCAGCCACACTGGGAAAGCAGGAGAGAAGCAAGCACAGGGTGAGGTGACCAAGGCCCATCGGGCATGTAGAACCAGCATATTCTTTCTTCACTGAAGGGAAAGGGAGGAGGAGTTCAGTCCGTTGTGTGACGTTGCAGGTCTCCCTCTTGTTTGTGGGTTTCCCACACTCCATATTTGCCAAATAAGGAGGTAATTGATGAGTAGGCAAATACCTTTGTATCTCCTATTTTCGTTTCAAGCTTTAAAAACACCTGGCCAGGTTGACTAAACTCATCTTCTCAATCATCCTTGAGGTCAAGGGACTTGGGTTTCTGGTCAAGAGTCAGAGCCCATGTTGGGAAGCGAAGTCAGGTCGTGTGGTGTAAAGCCTGCCTTCACTACATCGCAGGAAGCCAGCCTACTACTGTCTCAGCACAGAGCCTGCCGTGAGAGGGTCCAGTCGAATGCTCTGGGTCAGAATGGCTAGGGAAGTTCTGAGCCCCATTAGCCCAGTCTCCCATCCTGCATGTGCAACAGGAAGCACTTCACGCCTGGAAGAAACCACCTGGCCAGTGATTCAGGAAACACGGCCTGGGGACAAGTATGAGGAGCCATGGTCAATCTGGTCGAGTGACCACACAGCTAGCCATCATCTGAGTCCTCACGAGGACAGTGTTAGTCACGTACCGCGCTCTCTGGCAGGCGGCTGCCCAAGCCCCCTCCAGACGGAGCCTGGACTTGCATAGGGTGAAGCGATGTAGGGTGATCTCTCCAGAGGCGGGGGAGCTCCTTCACTCTGTCCCCTCTCACTGCCCCCTGCCCCCCAGCCCCCACTGTCTCCTGCAGCGCTGTGGGTTAGTTTCAGTGGTGGGCATCCCAGGTGCCTTTGACCGTGTTCCCGTCCTGCTGACTGAACTCAGAAAGGAAAACGGATTTGGCAGCTAGAGAGGCCGGCCTCCTCCCAGCGGCCCCCTCCCGGGAAGGATACCTCGGCCGGGACTGTGTCGGTCCGGCATGCCCACATTGTAGCTTGCGTGATGATGCTCTGCCTCCTTCCCCCTGCATCTCCCTGACTAATCTCCTCTCTGTTGTTGTTCATCTGTTTAGGTGGATACCCTTCGCCATGTTATCAGCCAGACAGGAGGATACAGTGACGGACTCGCAGCCAGTCAGATGTACAGTCCGCAGGGCATCAGTGTAAGAAAACAAGGCTCCCCCACCCCCTTTGTTTTTATTCTCTCATAACCAATTATTTCAAAGCCGTAGGGCTCGGAATGCCACTTAGTAGGACCTCTCTTAGCTTTACGGTCCCTTAGTTTCTCGTTTCCATATCGGCCACGCCGTCGGCGGCATTCTCCCCGCAAGAAAGTGACGACGGGCAGGGTGCACGCGGGCAGCTGGCGTCGAGGGCTGTCACACCCAATCAGTGTCCGCCTGGCACCTGCGGCCACTCGCGTGCAGCTGAGAGGCGCCTGCTGAACAGGTGACATGTAGCACAACAGCGGTCGGAAATGTCACCACGAGCCGGGGCCCGGGGACCCCGGGCAGGAAAACCGGTAGCCCAGATCCACTGCATCCAGGTCTGTGGTCCAAAAAAGCACCTTTCTCCAGTCTGGCTAAGGATGGAAACCAGAAAGAAATTAACGCCGAGGCTGGGGACGTGGAAGGGACGGGGAGGGGTGCCGGGACCCTCCTCTCGTTCTTGGGCGCGCTGGCGGCTTCTGACTAGCATGAAAATTCATAGCGACAAGCTGTGTCGCACAGAGTGAAATCGATCAGACAGACACAAGGAGAACCGAATGTAGATTTGGGACAGCAATCCAACTTGATTTCTCAGATCAATCGTCCGCTATCTCAGCAGCGGTGACAGCAAGCGAGGGCAAGAGGCAGCCTGGAAAAGGAGGCTGTTCTTTAGATCAGGGGTCATTTCCTGGGCTTTTAGAGGTCACAGGAGGCTCCAGTAGAACCATTCGCTCAGAACTATAGAAGAAAACTGTGGTTGATTGATGGTGATGATTTTGTTGTGGTTGTTTGTTTCTGGTGTTAGGATTCAAATGAATTGGGGATGGGATGAAGGAAAGGCAGGCATGACGTGTTAATGTCATCCTAGTCTATACTAATTGAGGTAGAGTGTGTGCAGTGGGGGAAGTGAGGGCTCCTTTGACCCTGCGTTGGTCAAATCAGACACGACTCAGGCGAGACTGGAAGGAATCAACAGAATGCCAACAGTTTCATCACAAGGACTGGTTGTGAGAATTAGGAATTCTTAGCCCATAAAGGAGAAGCTGTGGGTGGTATATAGTAGTTTTAGACACGTTATTTGTGAGGAAGATTAGATTGGTCATGAGTGATCTAAGCCGGGCAAGGACAGGAGCACTAAGTAGAAGATTCAGAGAAACCACATCTCACTTTGACCTTTGATGAGTCTTTCTCCCAGTCAGAGTCGTCCAGAGAAGGGATTGGCTGCCTCTGGAGGTCAAGAATGCCACGTCATCAGGGCGTTCAAACATGGCGTAGCCAGCGACTCGGTCAGGATGTCAGAGGAGACAGTCAAGTACCAGGTCATAAGTGTCTTGGTGACTTTTTAAGGCCCCGGCCAGTTAGGAGCGCTTTATTTTCTACCTTCTTTAGGCAGAATCCCCTCTGAATTTGTATGATATTTATCAAGTCCTTGTCTGGCAAGAGACGGAGGAGGGCAAAGCTAACCCCGTTGAATGGTACTCTGGGCAATCCTGTCACTTTTCCAGAAAGGATTTTCCAGAGCAGAGGCATTCTTCTCTTCTTGCGCTTATGCTAATTACAATTACTATGTTAATGGCTGGCTTGCTGGAAGCCTGCTTAGAAAAACACAAGATACTGTGGTGGAGAAGTATGTTCTCAAAAACGGACCCCAGACGAATGAGGTTGCTCTGTGCTTGTCGGGGGTGGGGGGAGAGGGGGGGAGGAGGCAGTTCAAGCACATACGAATTTACGCGTTTTCTGAGTCTTTTTGAGATACATCTTCTGTCTCAAAAGATTTTTCCAGAAAAAGCTTTGCTCTGTATAAGTGGAAGACAAGAACATGAGGAAAGTACCAGAGTGTGGGGAGGAGAATATGAGCTGCAGAAAGCCTGTGCGAGTAGGCGGGAAATGGGCTCACAGTTCCACCGTGTGGCATCCTCGCTTCCTAATTGGATAGTGTAGAAGAGGGTGGTGCTCAGACTCTGCGGGGGTCAACATGGACCCCTCTGATGCTATCGGATGGGCTGGGAATCATTTCTGAAAGATTGTAACCAGACATGTGCAGACAATTATGTCTGATTACATAAGGTCACCACAGAAACTGGGCTTGAAAATGCCACTCTCAAGAGTCCCTCATTGTGTGTGCAGTTCTTTTCCCCTGGGAACTGTGTTTATTTTATTTCTGGGTCTTTAATAAGCAGGGTAAATGATTCGAAGGCTGATCGTGATATGATACGTTCCTTGGGTGTCCATTTTAAATCTTTAAATTATGCCACCTGCAGGAGATAAAGCTTTTTAGAGCGAGCTGTATTTTTAGACAGTGGTGTACAACGCGGACGTGTGTGTATGTGAGGAGCCAGGCTCTGGCTTCCAGGAGAAGAAAGAGGGGCAAGGAGGGAGATGACAAGAGACAAGGGCAGGAATGAAAGGCCCGAGCCAAGAAATAAAAATAAACAATTCCTAAACCCAAGGCAGCAATGGAATTCCCAGCTGGACTCTGGATTGTGTTTCACTTGGTGGAGGACATTTTCTGGGCAGCCTTCATCTGCTTCCCCTGGCTGGGTTTTCATAGCACCCATATCTTATCCAACCAGTGTCTATTTTAAATCCCGTGAAGTTCAGACCACTTCCTCGCCTTTCACTGAGCCCACGTGGTGAAGGCGTGGAAGGTCGGGAGATGCTGGGAGACTCCGGGCCTGGTTGCTCCCGTGTGACCATGGGCAGGCATTGTACCTCTCTTCCGTAAAACGGGGCCAGTAGTTCCCACACTTTATTAATACCCCAAGGGCTGCTTTAGGGAAAATGAGAAAATAAGTAGGAAGAGGCTTGGCAAAGCAGAAATGGTTCCACATGAATGCAGGATGAAATGTTACAAGCGATAACTTTCTAATTTGACCTTTTTTTCTCCTCTTGTGTGAGCGGTTTTCGCAGTAGGCGGTTCCTAGTGAGGATTGGTTAGGACACGGTTGTCACTTTTTTTCTCTTCTGATGGAAAGATATGCTTTGGACATGGATGTAGAGTTGTGCAAGTCTTAAAACACCCCCTTCGTTAGCGGTGGTGAGCGTTAGATTATACATCCGTAAGTCCTTTGTGCTCTCAGATGACAATGGGCAGAGTACTTAGCAGGTTAGTGTGGCTCTGAGTAATGGAGGGAGGTTATTGCACTTCCTGTCAATCAGACAGACTTAAATCACTCAGTTCTCACGTTCATTCTCCTCTTTCCTTTCTCACTACCACTGTCCTAGTTCTAGAATAGTTCATCGGCTTGGCCATTGTGATCATTTTCTCATTACTGTTACTGACTTCAGGGTCTCCTTTCTCCTGCACACACCCTCTGAATTCGGCCATTCCTTCCCCAGAAATCACCAGCACCTGTCTGTTGCCTACCTAAGCAAGATCACACCCCAAGTCTGACACTCAGAGTCTCCCACACCCTGGTCCTGATCTACCTGCCCTTCTACCTCAACCCCCTGACATCCAGGCAAAATGTGAGTGCTGGGCAACATAGTCAGTTCATCCATACCTGGTTGCGCACATCCCCCTTACATTGCACCAGGCTGCCATCTACGTAAATGTCCTTCGTTCCTGTGCCACCTTCCCCATGCCTCCCCACTCTCAAAATCATACTTGTGCTCCAACAGCCAGTTCCTCCTGGCTGCCCAGGTTATCCTCCTCAGCCCTTCTTCCCTGCTTCTCTCCGCTTTATCACACATTCTCTTGTATTACAGATACGTGAACAGACAAGACAGACTTAGTTGGTCTTCGTGTCCTCCGCTCCCATATATTTCCTAAATATTTCCTCAATGCCTGTATTACTTGCTCAGAACATGTTGACTGATGACTAAATCAGGTAGGAGAAGACAAGTCGCCACTGAATTTAGAAAGTGTATTTATTTAGTAACCAATAGCCACATCTTACATAACAGTAAAGTATCTGGAAATGATTTTTATTTTAAATGCTTTACTAACCCACAAATACATCATGTTTCTGATTCAAAAGGTTTCTTAAGTCTTCCTTTTTATATAAAAGATTTTATTTATGGGGACGCCTGGGTGGCTCAGTCGGTTAAGCGTCTGCCTTCGGCTCAGGTCATGATCCCAGGGCCCTGGGATCGAGTCCCGCATCGGGCCCCTTGCTCAGTGGGGAGCCTGCTTCTCCCTCTGCTGCTCTTCCTGCTTGTGCTCTCTCTTGCTATGTCAAATAAATAAATAAAATCTTAAAAAAATTAAAAAAATAATTTAAAAAAAGATTTTATTTATGTATTTATGAGAGAGAGAGAGAGTGGGGGCAGAGAGAATCCTGTAGAGACTCCCTGCTGAGCACAAAGCCCAACATGGGGCTCGATCCCATGACCCCAAGATCATGATCTGAGCTAAAACCAAGAATCAGACGCTCAACTGACTGCCACCCAGGTGCCCCAAGTCTTCCTTTTTATAAAAAATTTCTAAACTTTTTGGCCAGTGCAGATTCTCTGAGAATCCAATTCAAATCAGCATTAGATACATAAAGCTCTATAGTGGTGATATTGCCAAGAGGATGATCCCTTTGAATTCTGCAGAACTCCTCTTGTCCTAAAAGAATCCCTGTGTCAACACCTGTTTGTGGGATACCATCCATGTAGCCATATAACATTGTCTCCACCAGATGTGGGACTGGAACATCCACGGACAAACTTGTGGGAGGTAGAGGCAACTAGAAACTGGGAAACTTAAATCCTTCCCGTGCCTTTTCTTTTGATAAAGTCCCGTCAACACTGTATTTTTGCTTCATCTGTGAAATTTACCAGAGAAGCAAGCTCTAAATTCCCTTTCAGCTGGATAGTTCTAGAGTGGATATCTAGAGTTCTAGATCTAGATCTAGAGATCTACAAGTACAGTCTTTGGTTCTCAATTTCAGCTCCAGGGACGCCAGACTCAATCATAGACTGCACTCCCTAGAGAACTCTTTTGAGAGACTTAGCCTCTGGCCTTCCTT